ATAATAGTATATATTATATTTTTATTACCTTATTTTTATGCTACCTTATCCTAAAGTTTTCAACAGCCAAGGATGTCATTCTAGTAATTCAATAAATGGCAATAGCATTAAAGAGGATGGATTACCATTTGCTTTACTGGTGCACCTTGAGGGCCACTAGGTCTTTCCATTTGATTTGAAGCTAAAACTTCCTAATGTGTTTTCTATCTCTATTAATATACAAGTGCCTTAAAAACAGTGACTATCTTGCCTTTCTCGCAGTATTCCAAAGACTTAGCACAGTACTTTGTGCATATTAGGGACTTAATAAATGCTTTCTTCCCCTTCATTCATTTATCAAATATGCTTGAGGAACTAAGGGAGGACTTTCATTAAACAAAAATGAGCCTGAAGGTAAAAATTATAATATCATAAATTACTTACCACTTTTCCCTTTCTGTATCTCCCCAAAGAAATAATGCTATTTTAACAGGTTCAATTACATAGATGAAGAGTTACATTCTGGACAGAAGGCTGGATTTGGATCCAGTACTTGTTTTAAGGTGGTTCCATTTACAAAGACAAACTTATAATGCTCTGCAAATCACTTAAACTCTCAATATCTCAGGCAATTCTAAGATTATAATTTGCTTATGAATTGCCAATCTATATCATTGGAGGGAATTTCTACACTGGAAGTTCCCTACACTAAGAAAATCACTGGTCTGGACCAAAAATATACAGATGGAAAAATAATCTTCAGACTCATAGAAAAGATACATGAACAAATGAAGTATAAGGTGATGATTCAAAGAAAACAAAGAAATTGCCTCAGATGACTGTGTATACATATTTAATGAGTGAGTAAAGAAAGATCTTATTTATCAGTAGATTTTTTTCCTGAGGACAAATAGACATATGAAAATACATCATTAGAATTTCTTGCATTTACGGATTTAATTCACATGTCAGATTGTAAATCGCTATCATGCTGAAGTGTTTCCACATCGAAATCCTGCCTGTTTCTTACTTTAAAAGAGGACTCTCTTTGAATTTGATCTGGGTAAACCAAAAAATTAATTAGATTTAAAAATGGGATATATATGTTAGGTAATAGTTTATCACTAGCATAATCACATGCACATTATTGACTTCATGCTTTCTAGAATACAGTGATATTTTCTTGGAGTCTGGGAACATGATCAAACATATCAGAAATTTTCAAACTTGACTATGTTTGAGATTCCATTGTGATTGTATATGTGGGACATGCCCTTTGCTTTGAATGGTCAAGAAAAGTACTTTTTTTATGTTCAAGAGGCATTTTTGAGTACAACATTGAACATTTGGTGATCTCATCAACTTCCATGGAATCAATTATAATGTCTCTGTTAATGATTCTCAAATTGAATTATTCAGTCCAAACCTCTCTCCTGACCTCTAATCTTGCATTTCAAACTGCCCTGTAGGTATCTTAAACTCAACTTGTCCAAAAATGAACTTAATTATCTTTTCCCTAAAACCCTTCTCTCTTTCTAACGTCTCTTCATGCCTGGACTATTGCAATAGCTTTCTGGTTGGTCTGCCTAACAAAAGTCTCTCTCCCTTCTAGTCTACCCTCCATTGTGTCTTAGGAATTTTCCTGAAGTACAGGTCCAGTCATGCCTCATCCTACCCTTCTCAATGAACTTCAGTGGCTCCCTATCATTTTAGGATAAAATATAAAATTCTCTCGCATTCAAAGCCTCTCAGGACCTGTACCTCTCCAATTTTCCAGTCTTCTTACTCCTTATATCCCTACCCTATGTACACAATTTAATGACACTGGTCTCTTAGCTGTTCTTGAGCAAGACTTGACTCTGGGTATTTTCACTAGCTATTCCCTATACATGGACACTCTCCCTCCTGATATGGTACATTTTGCCTTCCTTCAAGTTCCAGCTAATATCTCACTTTTGACAGTAAGCCTTCCCCAGGCTTCCTTATTTCTAATAATTATTTCTTCCCTCTATTGATTATCTCTAATTTATCATACATATATTTATATATCGCTTTTTTATATATAGTTGATTACATGTTATCTTCTCCAGTAGACTATGAGCTCCTCCAAAGCAGGGACTGTCTTTTGCCTTTCTTTGTATTTGAAGATCTTACCACAGTGTCTGGATATAGAAGGTACTTAATAAATGTTTTTGACTGACTTGTTATTATTGTTGTTGTTGTCTGAGGTCATATTTGAACTCAGGTTTTCCTGATTCCAGGCCTAACATTCTATCTATTACACCACCTAGCTGCCCACTGACATTTATTAGGAGTTTTTGTATGAGACATCTTTTAGGCTTTGGGAATGCAATGTCAAAAACAAAAATAGCCCCTGCTCTCAAGGAGCTTAACATTCTACTGGGAGGATAGAGCATGTATTTTAGTTTGTTTGGTAGTTTCAATCATGTCTGATTCTTGATCTCATTTGGGTTTTTCTTTGCAAAGATGCTAGAGTGATTTGCCATTTCCTTCTCCAGCTCATTTTACAGGTGAGTGGATAGAGTGTTGGTGTTAGAATCAGAAAGACTCATCTTCATGAGTTCAAATCTAGCCTCAGACACTTTCTAGGAAAACAGAAGGCTGTCTTTGATAAAGGCCTCATTTCTCAAATACATAGAGGAATGAATCAAAGTTATAACAATGCAAATTATTTCCCAATTGACAAATGTTCAAAGGACATGAACAGGCAGTTTTCAGATGAAAAAATCAAAGCTAGCTATAGTCATGTGAAAAAATGCTTTAAATCACCATTGATTAGAGAAATGCAAATTAAAATAACTCTGAGGTACCTAATGCCTACTAGATTGGCTAATATGAGAGAAAAGGAAAATGATAAATGTTTGAAGGTACTTGGGAAAATTGGGACACTGATACTATTTGATGAAATTGTAAACTTATCCAACCATTCTGGAGAGCAATTTGGAACTAAGCCCAAAGGGCTATAAAATTGTGCATTTCCTTTGATTCAGAAATACCACTACTAAGTTTGTATACTATAGAGATAAAAAAAAGGGAAAAAAGGACCTATTTGTACAAACATATTTATGGCAGCTTTTTTTGTTGTGACAAACAATAGAAAATTGAAGGAAGGTTTGTCAGTTGGGGAATGGATGAACAAGTTGTGGTATATGATTTTGAATACTATATTATTATAAGAAATAATGAACAGGCTGATTTCAGAAAAACCTGGAAAAACTTACATGAACTGATGCAAAGTGAAAAGTGAGCAGAACCAGGAGAAAATTGTATACAGTAAAAACAATATTATATGATGACCAACTGTGAATGACTTAGCTATTCTGAGCAACACAATGATCCAATACAATTCTAAAGAACTCATAATGAAAAATACTATCCACTTCCAGAGAAAAAATTAATGGAGTCAATAGAGATGAAGCATACTATTTTTTACTTTATTTTTTGTCTGTTTTATTTGTGTTTTGCTTCATAACATGACTAATATGGAAATATATTTTGCATGATTGCACATGTATAAGCTATTTCAAATTGCTTACCATCTCAGAAAGGGGGGAGGGAAGGGGATAAGAGAACTTGAAACTCAATTTTTAAATAAATGTTAAAAATATTTTTACATGTAATTGAAAATTACCACCACAAAATAAAGCTGGTGGATTAAAACTGTGACTCATGTTCCTAAAATATACAGAGAGACCTGAGGATCTATATCATAGATGGGAGAGAAAGACAGAAAGACAGAGAAAGAGAGACAGATAGATACAGAGAGACATAAATACAGGGACAGACAGAGACAGAGGGAGAAAGAGAGATGAGAAATGGAGATAGATGACAGACAGACAGACAGATAGATAGATAGATAGATAGATAGATAGATAGATAGATAGATAGATAGATA